GAGCCCATTAAAAATAATTTCAATACTTTCTAAAATTACAATAGAGTCTAAGGCCAGGGTGCGGCTGAGTGGTGGAGTGTTTGCTTATCTGGGGCAAGGCCCTGGGTTCAGTCCCCAGCACGAGGAAAAATAAAAAAGGGCAGGGCCAGGGATTTAGCTTACTGGTTCCACTGCCTGCCTCGCAAGCACAAGGTTCTGAGTTCAATCCCCGATACCAAAAAAATAAAAAATAATAAAGGCTATCTAAAGATAAACTTCAAATGTATTTGAATGGATTTCGAGACATTCCATGTTCCTGAATAGAAAGATTCAGTAAGGAAATTCTTCAATAAATTAATTTTACATATGACAGGATTCCAATAAAATCTCAGGGGATGGGAAAGGATGGGGGTAGAAAGGCTACAAAAATAATGTAAATAATATAATGATGCCATAGATGTAAAGAAAAGAGCCAAGAAGATTTTAACAAAGGAGAAACTTGAACTGCCAAATATTAAAACATAATTTTGTAACAGTTAAGCTATGGTGATTCAGAAAGGCTAACCAGTCCCCTAACCAGCAGCTATAAACAAAATACGTTGAACAAGGCAACACAACTCATAGGGGATGAAAGATGAATTATTCGGTAAGTCGTGCTAAAGCCGCAGTCAATTACTAAGGAAGAAATTAAATCTTTAATCACACTGTGCAAAAAATTACACTTGGTTGAAGAATTAAATCTGAAAAATAAAATCATAAAGAACTAGGAAAAAATAAAAGTGATTACACACCAGGATTTCAGAATGGAATATTTTCCAAAACATAAAAGACAAGGTTGAAAATATAAAGGGGACAGTCAGCCTACAAAAAAGTTTAAAGCGTCTCCTTGGACAAAAGAATTTTTTAAAACCTACAAAGTTAACCATCTACCAGTCCAATTATTTAAATACAGGATGACCAACAATTATATATTTTTTCATTCATTTTTATAACAGGAAATATACAAATGACAATTTTATCAAATTGATTTAACACAAGAATCGACTGGTTGAAATGACGCCTGCCCGAGTAATGCTCGGGGCAAACTGTTCAGCGGTTAAAATGCAATTGAAAAACTGGAAAAACAAAATTTACAAATTATAAGACAAAGAATAATACCCTTCACATATAAAAAGCTCTTTCAAAGCCAAACAAGAGAAATGCACACTGGAATATAAAAGTGAGCAAAGGACACGAAGAGGGCAATAAACACATTTCTAAAACACTCAGCACCCTTCAAGGAACCCTGGCGTAGAAGCGGTGTGGAAAAGGGCTTCAGAGATGGAGCAGCTGCATGCAGGAAGGGACCGAGAGAGGAAACCGGCTGCGCACAAACGCGTGGCGTCTGTGAGCCCGCCGCAACTGAGTGTGCACGGAGTAGGGCACAGGATAACGAACCTGTGCTAATAGTGCAGGGTGTGATAAGGTAACTACGTAAAAACTGTCCCTTGTGCCATGACGTGTGCTGAAGAATCCAGGATAAAATGTAGGGACAGCTAGAATTTTCTTTGAAATAATCTACCCAAAAAGGAACGATCAGGCAAGTCTGGCGTAATGTTAATAATTATCAAATAGGCAAAAATATGAATTTTTTAAATAAATAATATCCAATGCATACCAAGGTATGGTAGGAACCTGCCGTTTCAGACCCTGCTGTTGAGGGGGTGAATTGGTAGAACTTCCTCCAGGATAATCTGGCAACACATGTCAAAAATTTTGAAAAATGTTCAAGCCTGGCCAAGTTTATGTTTGATAATTTATCCCAAGTAAACTTTTGGCAACAAGCGAAAATTTATAAATTTTTAAGTTTACCGTGGCTGTATTTATGACTGTCAAATACTGAAAACTACTCAAATGTTCCACATTAAGTTTTCACACAGCTATATAATAGATACTCATCAAAAATTGAACTTTAGGGCTGGGGATTTAGCTCAATGGTTTCGCCGCCTGCTGCGCAAGCGCAAGAACCCAAGTTCAATCCCCAGTACCAAAAAAAAATTGAACTTTAGGGCCTGGGATTTAGCTTAATGGCAACACGCCTGCCTTGCAAGTGTAAGGTAGTGAGTTTGGTCCCGGTGGGAAGTGAGGGGGATACTGAACTTTAAACCAGGTGTGGTGGCACATGCCTGTAATCCCAGCACTTGGGAGGCCTAGGTTAAGAGGATCACCATGAGTTCAAGGCCAGCCTAGGCTATATAGCAAGACCCTGTAACAAAAGACCAAAAATTGGACTTCAGAAGGATAATTTAAAATATGTTGATACATTTTTATAAAGCAGTAGCCCTGGAAATCAGTAGCAGTTCCTCAAAAAATCAAAACTTAGAAGCCAAGAATGGTAGCACAGGCCTATAACCCCAGCACTTGGGAGGCTGAGGTGGGAGGATTGCCATGAGTTCAAAGCCAACCTGGGCTACAATGAGTTCAAGGCCAGCCTCAGCTGCATAGTGAGACCATGTCTCAAAAAAAATAAAATAAAATAAAATAAAATAAGGGCTGGGGATATAGCTCAGTGGCAGAGTACCCAGCATGCATAAGACCTTGGGTTTCAGCACTTCAACCAATCAATCAGTCAACAAATAAATGCACACCTGCTCCAGCAGTCTACTTCTGAGTAGCCAAAAGAATTGAAACCAAAGTCTCAAAGGGACATTTGCACCAATGTTTATGACATTATTCACAACAGTCAAAAGGTATAAGCCACATGAATGTCCAGGGAAGATGAATAAACAAAATGTGGGCGGGTCCTGCAGTGGAATATTATTCAGCCCTGGGCTGGAGACGTAGTTTAGTGGTGCTGCCGCCTGCCTCACAAGCACAAGGTCCTAAGTTCGATCCCCAGTACCAAAAATATATATATACACTACTCAGCCTTTAGAAAGAAAGAAAATCCCAGCATAAAACACAACATGAAGAAGCCTTGGGCACATTATGCTGAGTGAAACAAGGCAGTCAGAGAAAAGCAAATACTTTAGACTTCCACTTACACGAGCCACACAGAGCACAAACTGACAGGGACAGATGCAGGATGGTTTTCAGGGCCTGGGAGGAGAGGCAGATACAGAGTTGTTTAATGGGGACAAATTTTGTAAGATGAAAAGAATTCTGGGAATGAGTGGGGTGGTGGCTACACAACAAGGTAAATGTGCTTAATGCCATTGAACTATAAGTGAAAATGGTTAAGATGGAAGATTTTATGTTATGTGTATCTTATCACAATTAAAAATAAAGATATGTTAAGATATTTTAAAGAGAAAAAGGCATATTGCAAAATAATATGTTCATGTATGACCTCAATTTTGCTTTGTTTCACTGATGTCATAAATACAGAAATGCCTTGGTTCATGAGTACCTCTGTTCAAGAACAATTTGGTACACAAACAGAAGCATTCGGCAAAATTTTGCTTCCTTTCACAAACTCAGCATAAGGTGAGGAACAAGACCACAGCCATCTTCCCTGCATGTTCATGAACACGGCCATTTTCTCCAGAATAGTGGAACAAATTAAGTTCATGAACCAAAGTACCACTGTATTAATATGTCTGTACAAAGGAATAAAAGCTCAAAAGGATTTGCAAATAAAAATGTCAACAGGAATTATATTTATATGCTAGATTGAAAGGCGAATTTTTTCTTTGTGCGTTTATGCTTTTCTGTAATTTCCAATTTTTCTACAGTTACTTTTTTTTTTGAGACAGGGTCTCACTATGTAGTTCATGCTGCACTTGAATTTGCAGTGATCCTCCTGCCTCAGCCTTCTAAGTGCTGGGACTGCAAGCATGTGCTACTATGCCTGGCTTTCTACAATTTTTTTTTTTTTTTTTGGTACCAGAGATCAAACTCAAGACCTTCTGCTTGGGAGACAGGCGGAGGAACTACTGAGCTAAATCCCCAGCTCTACAATTACTTTTTGTTTGTTTATGTTTTGGTACCAGGGCTCGAACTCAGGACCTTGCGCTTGTGGGGCAGGCGGTGGCACCATTGAGCTAAATCCCCAGCACGAAGCAGTAACACTTGGATCTTAATGGATCCTTTTTTTCTTCTCTTTTCTTTTTTTCTTCTCTTTTCTTTTTTTCTCGGTACTAGGGATTGAACTCAGGGCCTTGCACATGTGAGGCAGGAAAGCACAGCGCCACTGAGCTAAATCCCCAGCTCTACAATTAGTTTTATAATCAAAAGCTTAAGAGGGCCAGGGATTTTAGCTCAGTGGCACCGGACCTGCCTTGCAAGCTCAAGGTCCTGAGTTTGATCCCCGGTAGCCAAAAAAACCTGAAGTCTGTTGGGGCTGGAGATGGGGCTTTGTGGCAGAGCACTTGCCTGGCACAGATGAGGGCCTGCGTTTGTGCCAGCACCACAATCTAAAGTAAAGTAGGTTTGGTGATTGGACAAACAAAAAAGGCAAGAAAAGGCCACTCATTTTGGCTCTGCATCCTGATGTGTGAATGTCCAAAAATATATATTTCTAAGTATCATAAATACGATCTGATGAACGAAGCACAAAAAGCAGGTTAGGGTTTGGGAAAATAAAGACCAACTCAGAAGACCAAGCACTGTACCGGAGGGTGTTTTCCCTGCAGGATCAAACGAGGCCCAAAAGGAAAAGGCTGGCAAAGGCCCAGAAAGCACGGGTCAGGAGCAGAAAGGAAAGACTTGGAACAACGCAGGCTCCCACCCCGCCTGCCTGCGGCCAGCCCCACCGTGGGAAACCGCGCTGGGGACGAGCACGCGCGCACAGCCTGTCTGACAGCAGTGGCAGTGCAATCCGGTGGAGACAGACAGCTTAGCTCAGCACACCACCGTCTCCGCAGTCCTAAAGGGAGGGGAGGCGGGGAGCAGCCCTGCCCCAGTCCTGTCTCCCCTACCTCGCTGTGACGGCCTCGGTGGCCGCGAGTCGCCCTCTGCCGTCCTGTGCCCGCAGCCCGGGCACCCGAGGGCACAGCTCGCGGTGGCATCCGGGCTCCCGCCGGCCCGCACCCCATACGTACTTTTGCCCCCATTGTTCTTCAAGACGTTGGAGAGGTTGACGGAGGCCGTGCCTAGCAGTTCATTCCTCAAGGTATGACAGCTCCAGACCTTCAAATCTAAATGACTCTGGGCCGTGACATTCCTGGAAAACAAGTACCTGATTCAACACCTCCCAGCAGAGGTGTCACGGGGTACAGTGCAACTACCCTGCTGACATCGTGGGGCAGCCAAATAGGTAGATCCGCATGGGCCCTGACCCCCAGCGCTGACTTTGCAACCCCCGCCTAATGACTGCTCTGTGAGCTCAGGGAGGCAACTGGGACCACAGGAAACCTGGGGCGGTCCCGTCCCTCCTTTCCTTCTCCCCTGGACCCCCGGATGCGACTTCTCTTACAAGATGATGATCTCATTCCACAGCAGCTCCGAGCTCCCGATGCGCTTGCCCGTCTTCTTGGTCTCACTGGGGAGCCCGTCCACCGCCACCTCCACATAGGAGTTGATCCGGGGCTGCCGGTTGTGCACCTTGGGCTTTGCTGACACCACTGGGCCGGCAAGGGAGAAAAAGTAGATGAGTCAAGGACTCCCAGGTGCCCCCCTGTGGCAGATGTTCTGGCTCTTTTGGGCTGGGTGTGTGGGGGGGGGTGTGTCTTGCCTTGATTCTCAAAAAAACATTTAAAGAAATATATTTTCCAAAATGAGGGAGAAGAGAAAAAAAATCACTCCTAACCTGAAACCATAACTATCATTACGGAGAGCCAGGCAAAGTATCACATGCCTGTAATCCTAGTATTCAGTAGGCTGAGGCAGGAGGATCACCACGAGTTAGAGGCCAGCCTGAACTACACAGTGAGACCCCATCTCAAAAAACAAACAGGAGCTGGAGATTTAGCTCAGTGGTTCTGCCGCCTGCCTCCCAAGCGCAAGGTCCTATGTTCCATCCCCGGTACCAAAAAAAAAAAAAAAAATATCATTATGTTAATTATCATTACCAATTTATTATTGGCAAATCTTCCAGACATTTGTTTTCTTTTTTTTTGGTACCGGGGATCAAACTCAGGTCCTTGCGCTTGCACAGCAGGCAGCTAAATCCCTGGCCCCAGACATTTGTTTTATTTCCCTAATTCTTTAAAATTTGTCCTCTCAATCTTTTCTCTTCTTTTTTGGTACCAGGGATCGAACTCGGGTCCTTGGCGCTTGTGCAGCAGGCAGCGAAACCACTGAGCTAAATCCCTGGCCCTCAAACTCACATCTTTGCGCTATGAGGCAGGCAGCAGAACCACTGAGTTAAATCTCCGGCCCAATCTTTCCTTTTTTTCTTTTTCAATGCCAAGAATCAAAATCAGGGCCTCTCACATTTTTCCCTGACCTACAGTCCTAGCTCCACAAAATCAATTTTAAATGGCTGTGATATAAGCCTATTATAAGGTATATTAACTATTTTTCATTGCTGAAAAGATTTGCAACTTTTTTGTTCAAGGAAAATTACCACAAACGTATATATTTGTATGCATTGCTGAGTAGTACCTTAAAGGACATGAAAAATGTTTTCCACAAGAAGTAAAACAATGACACATCCCATCAGTGCTATGGAAATATTTCCAATTCCTCCAAACATCAGGGTGCTGAGTTCTATGTTCTTTCACTCTTCACAAATCATTTGGACTTTCTAAATAGTTTAAAGATAACAGCTAGAGGGCTGGGGATTTAGCTCAGTGGTTCCGCTGTCTGCCTCAAAAGCCCAAGGTCCCAAGTTCAATCCCTGGTACCAAAAAAAAAGAGATAACAGCTAATATTGAATGAGCCTGTGTGACAGATGCTGTGCTATGCACGCATTCACTGAGTCTTCATAACAGCTGACTCCACACGGGCTCTGGGCTCTCCGGGACTGTGCTTATCTGTTCTCCTGATGTTCTTCACTCACTACTGAGGCTGAGTACTCTGCCCAGCCTGCCAGTCGTCCACACTTCCTCTTATGTTCATAGCCCTCATGTGCCAGCACTTCCCATGTCCAGCTGGTGCCAGCGAGTGCACAGCCACATAAGTGCCATGCCCAAGGACATGGGTCTTGTAGCACACATAACTCGGGCTGGAAACAGCAGGTCACCAGAAGCAAGCCCACGCAGGTGTCTTCCAACCTGTGCCCCAAATCAGAGGACAGAACTGATACTCCTCACCTATGGTGACAAGTCTGTCCCCACCCGAGCATCCCTCTATTGAGTGTTAGCAAATCTCCTCCCAGACACTTCTGAGAAGTGACAGTCCCATAGGGCCCACAACTTGGCAAAGGTCAGCTCCACTTCCAGGTTGTTTTTAGCAGTAACTGTTCACCAGGCCCAAAAGGAACAGAAAGGAGGAAGTTTAAAAAACAAAAACCAAAAAACAGTGTGGCTGAGATTACAAAGCAAAAGGGGTGGCACAGGAATACAGGTTTGCCAGGCTGAGCAGGACCCAGGGCAGAATGCAGTGTTTCAGAGACTGAGGTCGACTGGTACCACCTAGTGGTGGGAGCGTAGCTCTGCATGCCTTTAACTCAAAACACGGCCTCCACACGATTAGTGTTCCGGGCTTTGGAGCTTGACAATCTCTTTAAAATCAACAAGTTTAATCCCTTTATTTTACCTAGCCACAGTAGTGCTCTCAAGAGGCTGAGGCAGGAAGATTTCTGTGAGTTAGAGGTCAGCCTGGGCTACAGAGTGAGTTCAAGACTGACCTGAACTACATACCAAGACCCTGTCTTAAAAAAAAAAAATTCACAATTGTGCCAAGAGTCAGGGAGGTACAACTTATCCAAAATCATGGAGTTGTTCAGAGGTGGGGCTCAGACTAGAACCAAGTCTCCCAGCTCCCAGGAAAACTCAACCCTACCACAATCGACCCATCCATTTTGTCTATCTATCTATCTTTCTTTCTTTCTTTTTTTGGTACCAGGGATCGAACTCAAGACCTTGGGCTTTCGAGGCAGGTGGCTGAACCACTGAGCTAAACCCCTGGCTGGCTGGCTTGCTTTCTCTCTCTCTCTCTCTCTCTCTCTCTCTCTCTCTCTCTCTCTCTCTCTCTTTCATCCTCCAGCCTTTTCCTCTGTATTTTCTTTTTACTTTTAAAAAATACTGACATAATTTCAGACTTGTACAAAACATGCAAGAATAATACAAAAAATTCCTCTATAGTACCCTTCAGTGCATCACCCCAATATTAATTTTGTGTTGCATTTGCCAGACAAATGTTCTACCACTGAGCTGTGCCTCTAGCCCAGAAAGCAATCTTTTAGCAATCACACTGCTAAAAATCTTACAATAGGAGCTGGAGTAGAACTCAGTGCCACTGGTAAAAGCCCTAGGTTCCACCCCCAGCATGCAAAAACAAAATAAAATAGAGTCTGACAACACCCTGTTTTGACAAAGGTAGTGAAATTGGCATTTTCATATATTGCTGTAAGAGTATTCCTTCCATTATTGTAACAGTAATCCCAGCACTCAGGAGGCTGAGGCAAAAGGATCACCACAAGTTCGAGGCCAGCCTAGGCTACACAGTGAGCTCAAGGCCAGCCTGAACTACATAAGACCCTGTCTCAAAAAACAAAAGGAAGGGCTGGGCATTTAGTTCAGTGGTGCTACCACTTGCCTTGCAAGCAGAAGGTCCCAAATTCGATCCCCGCTACAAAAAAAAGCAAAAGCAAACAATGGCCCAGGGATTTAGCTCAATGGTTCTGCCACCTGCCCTGAAAGCACAAGGACCCGAATTCGATCCCTAGTACCACAAAAAAAACCCAACAACAACCAAAAGAGTATGCCTGGGGCCAGGGATGTGGCTCAGTGATGCTGTGCCTGCCTGGCAAGCACAAGGTCCTGAGTGTGATCACTGGTAATGGGAAAAAAACCCTCTTAAAAGAGTATTCCTGAGAGTGAAGCATCGCAGAGGAAACGGGAGTAACCTGTGGGTGCAGTCACCACCATGAGCCTCCTCAACAAGCCCAAGAGTGAGATGACCCCAGAGGAGCTGCAAAAGCAGGAGGAGGAGGAATTTAACACAGGTCCACTCTCTGTGCTGACCCAGTCAGTCAAGAACACCACCCAGGTGCTCATCAACTGCCACAACAACAAGAAACTCCTGGGCCGTGTGAAGGTCTTTGACAGGCACTGCAACATGGTGCTGGAGAACGTGAAGGAGATGTGGACTGAGGTCCCCAAGAGTGGCAAGGGCAAGAAGAAGTCCAAGCCAGTCAACAAGGACCGCTACATCTTCAAGATGTTCTTGTGGGGGGACTCAGTCATCATGGTGCTGTGGAACCCGCTCATCGCTGGCAAGTATGGGGCCTCTGCCCTGCTCTCAGGACCTCCTCCCGCCCTCCGAAGTCCTGTCCTTTGTGATGTAGTGATAATAAAGTGCTGCATTGTTTTGTTTTGTTTTGTTTTTAAAAAAAAAAAAAAAAAAGAGTATTCCTTCCAAGGAAGCAATCTGATCTCAAAATTACAAAAGCTCTTCCTTTCCCTTGGATGCCATTAGAGCTTGGATTTGAAATGTCCTCAAAACTCTTGTGCTAAAGTCTGGTTGCCAGGTGCGGGGACCTAGGGGACTAAATCTGGTCCCCAGCCCCTTCTTCTCTGGCTCTTTTCCTTTTTGTCCACTTCCCAGGTCCCAAGAGGTGAGCAGCTTTCCCCTGGCGTGAGCCCCCACCTCAGTGTTCCTGAGTCACCATGGGCCTGACAGCAAAGGAGCCGTGGACTGAAACCCTGAAACCATGAGCCAAAGCAAACAGTTCCTCCTCTAAGCTGTTTTTCTCAGGTATTTGGTCACAGCCATAAAAAACTGATTACAAGTGTGTCTTGGAAGGGTCACCAAAAAAACTGATGATCCTGGCTTCCTCCAAGTAGGGTAACTGAAGGGCCGGAAGAAAGTAATGTACATGAACAACATTTGCATTTCTAAAATGCTCCTGAGGGCTGGGGTTGTGGCTCAGTGGCACAGCACTTGCCTAGCAGAAGCAAGGCCCTGGGTTCAATCCTCAGCACCTCAAAAAAATAATAACAATTAAAAACACTAATGAGGAAAAGCATGGAGAGACACAGCTTTGTGTCTGCATGACCATGCCGAGGGGCCTGAGCCCACACCTAGGGCCGCTCCCCGCCCAAGCATCTGCCAGTCCTGGGACTCCTACAGACCTGCGGCCACCAGACCAGCATTTTCATCCTGGCAGAATCTGCTCAGGCCCCACTGTGTACAGACACTGACAGAAACAAGCCCAGGCTTGGTGGCACGTGCCTGTGACCGTGCACTCACAAGGGCTGGGAAGGGGACGGATGAGAGGAAGTCGGGATGAACTTGGCTGCAGATCCACAGATCAGGTCAGAAAGGCCTCGCTGAAGCTGGGGACTTTCGAGTAAAGACATAGGGAAGTAAAGAGGCAAAGTGAAAGCCTTCCACTCCGAGGGTCAGCAAGTGCAAAGGCCTGGAGGCAGACAGACACCTGCCCACTGTGCTGGGTGAGGAGCCTCAAGGACTGTGGCTGGACCTGAGGAGCAGCTTGGTGTGTGGGGTCCTCAGCTTCTACTCTGAAGGAGATGCAGAGCCACTGCGGGGTCTGAGCAGGGGGGTGGTAAGATCCATGTCATATTTTAACAAGTCACCAGCTACTGTGTGACCAACAGCTTGAAGGACAGCAAAGGGTGGAAGCTAGGGGACAGGGCAGGAGGTGACAGCCTTAATCCGGTGGGGATGATGGCAGCTTGGCCCGGGCTGGGACAGCAGGGGTGGTGGGAAGTGCTCAGTGCTGGATGTGTTTGGAAGACAGAATGGACCAAAGGTGCTGATGGTTGAACACAGGGTATGAGAAAGAAAACTCAGGCACTCGGCTTTGGTTTTAAATCTAAACATGCAAGCAGAGGCGTCAGGTTGGCCACTGGACACAGAGATCTGCAGTTCCGAAGAAAGACCCCAGCTGAAGACAGCGATCTGGGAGTGACCCACATTGGTGGCACTGGAAGCCTCGAGGCTGAGTGAGGTCACCAGCAAGGTGAGTATAGACAGAGAACCACCCTGGGACGTGAAGGAATCACCATTTCAAATATTTTAGCCAAAAGTTCCTTTTTTCCTAGCTCCTTCAAGTGACTTTTCTTCTTTTCCAAGAATTCCAGCTATAACATGATAATCCTATGACAATGAGGTCACACACACAAGCTACTTCAGAAAGCGTGGTTCTGCAGACCCAGGTGTGGAATAGGGCTCCACCTCTGCCCTGCTGGGCTGGACACCCAATGACATGCATTTGACACGGTGCCACTCACCTTTCAGGGTAAGCTGAGACTTCTCAAAAGGGAGGGCCACACCTGCCCGGCTGGAGCTGGCAGATGCCATGTCATCACCATGAAACTGCAAGATAAGCAGAGAAAAGGGTTGAGCCTATCTGAAGACACCTGTCAGTACTTGGAAGGCCGAGGCAGGAGTATCTCCATGAGTTTGAGGCCAGCGTGGGTGACATAGTGAGTTCAAGACCACCCTGGACTACATAGTGAGACCCTATTTCAAAAAAAAAAAAAAAATAGATTGAGCTCAATTTATATTCAAGTTTAAAGAGATAGAGGCAAGAAAATATGAACGTCCGAGTAACTGTGTCCATGCTACTTCCTGTTTTCCATCTGTCTGTTGATGACTGTTGCACCTGGAGAGGTCTTAGGTAACCTGGAAGCCCACAGGACGGTTAACAGCAAAGCCAGGAGGAAGAGTCTAACAGAACATTTCCACAATGAAAGTCAGAGCTTCACAATAAAAGATGACTCATGTGATTTTTTAAATGGGCAAATGATCCCAATAGACATCTCTCAAAGAAGATATCCAAAGGGCTAAGAAGCCCATGGAGAGTTGCTCAACATCATCAGCCTTCAGGTGTCCTTGTCACCCCATCTTAGCCAGAAGCAGAAGTTTAACTGGCACTGTGGATGGGTCTCTTCCTCGGATATGATTTTGGGCCACCGTCATTTGTCATTTGGAAAATACTGGTTCACTGAGCTATGCAGATCTCCCAGTGTTGACATCTCATTACACAATACCCAAAACACACATTTGTGAGTGCCTCCACCCACTGGGAATCTGTCGAGCTCTTGGCAGTGGAGACAAGTGTGCCAAAATCCTCATTTTCACCCGAGAGCTCCTACTTCGTCACTGGCGAAAAATACTGTCGGCTATTTCCCTTGAAATGTCAGGCTTGCTTCATTCATTTGGAAAAAAAAATCTGCCAAATACCCAAATCTAGCAAGTTTAGTTTGTCTCTGAGTTGCTTTCCAAAATGAAAATGGTAATTCATGAAAATGCAGCGAATTTAGCTCTCAATTCAAAGAACAGCCAATGTGCTGGTCCTCCACACACCTTCCTCTGACCGAACGCAGTAACGCAAGCCCTGCTCCCATTTCAGCGCAGAAGGGGAGAGAGCCGTGTGCAGGGTCGGGGCTGGGTCAGATCAACAGACTGCTTCGAGGACTTCGCTTCTGTAAGTCACAGCGATTAACCTCTAGTTCTCCTAAAACTGGAAGTTCCTTAAATACTGAATGAGTTGCCCTTACACATTATTGGCTTCAGGATATCTCAAACCTATGAGCACATATGACCCTTAATCATCTTAAAACTTATTTTTATGTTTTCACTTTTATGAGTACAGCTTTGCAGTACACAAGGATCCATCGCATCCCTCAAGGGGAGGGGGTACGCGTTCAGAACACACTTCGCTTCTTTTTCCGTGCCCCCCTTCACCCTCTCCTCCCCACATCTCTTGGTCGCTGTCCCTTTTGCAAAAGCTCTCCCCATTTCCTGTGATCTGCCTTTTATTTTGCTCTTTACCTCAAGGCCTTTTTCTTGGTACCGGGGATCGAACTCGGGTCCTTGCGCCTCCGAAGCAGGTGGCAGAACCACTGAGCTAAATCCCCGGTTCCCTCAAGGCCATTCTTAAGTGAATCTGGCTTTTCTCTTTTCAGCTAGCTGAGTTCATCATCCACGCAGGAGCCGAGTGATCCACTGCTAAGAGTCGCAGAGCAGGGCACTTCCCCGCCAAAACCACCCACCACACCAGAACTCCGAGGGGGTCAGGTCGGAAGGTTGGACGGAGGGGGCCGACCCAGCGCCAACAGCACAGCCGGCCTGGGGCAGAAGGCAATGGCGACAGCACACCTGGGCTTGTGCTGTGGCACCAACAGTTTTACTCACCTCTCCTTTTACACCACTGGTGCAAATGTGAGCACAGGGACAAGACAAGTGAGTGGAGATGTGATGAAAAGAGCCATAACCGCCCCAAAGCGGGAGAGAATCTCAAGGGCCTCCTGCTGTTTGAGGACCACACTTGAAAACTGCTGCTAGAAAACACTGTAAAATTCCAGTTACATTCAACAGCCTTAATCACTTCTTTCAATCTATTTGTTTCTGATCTCGCCTCCTACTTTTTTTTTTTTTTTTGGTACCAGGGATTGAACTCGGGTCCTTTGCCTCCTGATCTCCATGTTAAAGAGTTTTTCAGCCCTAAAAAGTAGTTACTAACGCACTACATTACTCCAAGAAATAAGACACCTTTATATGAAAATTAAATGTTGCTACAGCTAAGTGACAGTGATTCTGACACTTTCCCTAGCTAAAGTCAAACAATTTTATGTTTCAAGATTTTTAGCGAAACAAAACAAAGGCTGGGCACATAGCTCAGTGGCAGAGCACTTACCTGACACGTTCGACACCCTGGGCTTGATCCTCAGCAGCCCCCTCCCACAAAAAAGCCTTCTTACTGTATATTCAGTTTCCAAAACAGCTGCAAGTGTCTCATTTTTAAGCTGGATTAGTTTGTTCCTTTGTTTTTCTGTGTTAGGAATCAAACCCAGGACCTCAGCCAAGCTAGGTAAGTGTGCTACCACTGAGCCACACCCGCAGTAGACTTTTGTTTTTGTTTTTTCTGAGACAGGGTTTTGCTTTTGTAGTGTTGGCTGGCCCCAAACTCACTGTGTAGCCCAGGCTGGCCTCAAACTTGCAGCAATCCTGCTTCAGCCTCCCGAATACTGGGATTACAGGTGTTCGCCACCACGGCCTAGTCTTTAGTAGACATTTTCCTTCCACTGAAGACCTCTGAAATGTTATTCAGAGCAAAAGGAGTGCGGTGTTCTTTGCACCAAGACCTGTGGAGACTCCACCATGGCTCAGTTCTCCTCTGCCATGTCCAGCCTGTGGTAGGCATCCAATGCAACTGACCTGTGCTAATCCAAATGTTTTCTTCCCTGGACGGTCAAGACACTGAACCTGCCTGAAACTCGTCCGCCACCCTTTGGTGGCTCTTTCTCTCTCTGCAACCTCTACATAGGGTGTCCCATAGCTCGGGGGACTGTGTCTCTTCTGGTCATCTCGGCTTAATGTCAGTCCTGATACTCCTGCTTGAACCTGTCATTTGGTCATCCACATCTCGGTTTGTGACAACTCCTTCTATCCAGTGGCTCAGCCAAAACCCTGAGGCTCACTTACTTCCCACAGCCAATCTGTCAATACATCCTCTTGCTTCCATATTTAAAATAAATCCGAGTTCCACCACCTCTTACCACCCCTACCATCCCCACCTTGGTCCAAGAGCCACGTTCTCTCCTCTGACTGTCTTCTGCCCTTTGCCCCTTCAGTCTCATCTCCAAATTCAGCAACCAGAGTGGTTTTTGTTTTTTCACTGCTGGAGATCAGAGTAATATTTTTACATTACAGAAGTCAGACTGTGTCACTCTGATATCCAAAGCCATCTAGCAGCTTTCTGCCTAACTCAGAATAAAATCTAAAGTCTTTAAAATAAGTTTCAAGGACCTCTGTGCTATGTTCCATTGCAACACAGGTCCCGTGCATTCCTCAGTCTCCCTGTCCCCATCCCCTAGCACCCTGGGCCCCGGCTGTCCTGACCCGCAGACAGCTCCAGCCTCCTCTGGATGGCTCTGTCGCAGCTGTCACTGCCGGGGCACTGCCTGCAGCATTTCCTCCAAGCTCTTTCTCTTTTTTTTTTTTTTTTTGGTACCGGAGATTGAACTCCAGTCCTTGTGCTTTGCACAGCAGGCGGCGAAACCACTGAGCTAAATCCCCGGCCTCCAAGCTCTTTTTTAAGGGGCCTCCTTCCTGGACCCTGTCAATCCCCCTCTCCCACCCAGTAGTCTGCCTCTTTCCCTACTTCACTTTTTCTCCTTTAGCATTTTCCACTGGCCACTCCATACTGTAGTTATTTAGTGTATTTCCTGTTTGTCTCCCTGGCCTGGAATGTAAGCTCCTTGGGGATCCAGATGTTTGCATCATGTCAGCCCTGTTTACCTAGTGTTTGAAATAACACCTGGCTCTTAGTAGGAACTGTGTAATATTTGTGGAATGAACGAACTGGAGCATCAGTTTTCCAAAGTTTAAAGATGTTTTAGAGCCAGACATGGTAGTGCATCCCTGTAATCCCAGCACTCAGGAGGCTGAGACAAGAGCATCGCCGTGAGTTTGAGGTCAGATCGGGTACATCATGAGTTCAAGGGCAACCTGAACTACCTAGTGAGATCCTGTCTCAAAAAACAAAAACAACAACAAAAAAAGATGATGTTTTGACTCCCTTCAACTAATTCATGCTGGGAGAGCAATAAAAAAATCAACTGTCCTCGCTACCCATCTGAGTAGACAGTAAGTATTGGTGAAAAGTCACACAGGCTCTGGAGGAGGTGGAAATGAGGTGATACCTGGGAACCTCCCTAGGGTTAAAGACGCAGACTGTGGGGTGTAGCTCATGGCAGTGACCCTGGCACTTTGGGATGCCCAAACAGGATGATCAGAAGGTTCTTTTCTGCACCAGGCAATTTAGCAACTTAATGAGGCCTGTCTCAAAAAAATTTTTTAAAGGGCCAGAGATATACTCAGTGTAAAGGTCCTGGGTTCAATCCCCAGTACCGGAAAAAAAAAAAAAAAAAAAGGTCGGGGGGAGAAGATGAAGATGAAGAAGATGATGATGATGATGATGAGCCCCAGGATTCCACTACCAGGCATCT